TGATAAACACAAATCAGTAAAAATGCAAATAATCTTAAAAAGGACAAAAAACATTAAAAAATATTTCTCCAAGGAAAACATACAAATACCTAATGAGACATAAAAAGCTTCCCAGTATCATTATTCATAGGCAAGTGAAAATCAAAACTATGATGAGAAACCATTTCACATGCACTAGGAGCTCTAGGACCAAAAAGTTAAAGAATATAAACTGTTGGTGACTTGTATAGAGAAACTGAGCATTCATATCCTGCTGGTAGGAATGTAATATGATGAGATCGCTCAGGAAAACAACTTCAGAGACTGCCACACCCTTCAAATAACTATACATAGAATTACCATATGAACCAGCAATTTCACCCCTGGATGTATACCTTAGGGTAATAGAAACAAATGTCTGTACAAAAATTTACACATGAATATTTATAACATCATTATGATAATAACCAAAAGGTAGAAATCACTCAAAAGCCCATTGACAGATGGATGAACAAATAACACACAAAGAAATTTACACTACCCAAGGAAATATTATTCACCTCATAAAAAGAAGAGTACTGAGTCATGCTACAGATGTACAAACTTTGAAAACATCATACTAGGAATCTAATAAAAAGGAATGCATATTGTCCATCCCATTTGTATGACAGTATAAAAGAAAGAAGGTTGAATAGTGGTAACTTAGAGATTAATACAAAATGTTCTAAAATTACTATTGCTATGGTGGCATGCACCTATGAGTACAGTGAAAATCACTGAACTGTGCACTTTAACGCAGGGAATTGTGTGGTGCATGAATTATATCTTAATGCAGCAGTTTCTAAAAGAAAGTTTGGATCTTGTACTAAGGAAAATTAATTGAGACAAAGTTTAATTATTTTACCAAAAGTGGAGAAATAAGGTTAAAAATGTCAAAAAATCTTAGGAGACTTCAGGTAGTTTTGCAAGCATGAGTGGGAGCATTATTTCATCTCTTGTTTTATTCTTAGTCTTTACATATAATTGCCTCACACAGCCAAGCCTTGAGCCCTGATGACATATTACCTTTATTGTAGATTCAGCTGCTGAATACATAATATTTGTATAGATCAAATTTTAGGAGAAAAAACTCGTAGAAATCATTTACTTGAATTTCTGCTACTTACCAGTTAAATATAATTGCTTTTAAACTTGAAAGAAAGTGGACTTTTTACTACTCGCTTGCTTTGATGTCCTTTGGAAACTTGCTGTATGTCTTGCCAAGTCCTTCCTAAAAGATGCCCCATACCCATCAAAGAGGAAAAACTTTAAGTCAACAAAAACTAAATATCTATAATCCTTTTTAAAATTATAATCTTCACGGTCCTTTTTCTTATGATCAATTTGTGTTATAATTCTATTATTAAGGATCAGTGTTAACATTATATAGCCCACTGCCTTGGGCAAACAGAAAGCTAATTTGGCCAGATAAATCAGGATGGTGTCTGTATTTTTGGATGCAATTTTTCTGACTCCTTTAAGAGCCTTTGTTCAGGTGGACATTAGGATATTTGAGATTCACATACCTTATACGACAAGGAGAGCTGTCAAGAACATGATCACCAATTTTCAAAACTAGAGACCATTTAATTCCCCCATTTAGCCATGCATTTAGTTCAGCAAGACTATATAGTTTAGAATACCTGGTGATAAGGTTAGTACAGAAAAAAGAAAGCAACATTGAAGTGAATTGCAAAAAGCTAGGGATATGTCCTTCTTCTGGGAAAGCTGGAGTACACGTATGTATGTACATACTTTGGAGGGAATCTGCAAAATACTGCACTGAAAGGAACAGCCTTGGCAAAGCGTATCCCATAGGGAATAAATACCCAGATTCCTGCACTCTATTCTTCCCCAGAGACTTAGGCAAATAGATTGATTTCAATATATTAAATCCCGACTCACAGGAAACCGTTTCATTATTATCCTTGAAAACGCGATAGCATGTAAACATTTTTAAGAGGAGATTTTTACGATACATGAACCCATACCTTCCTTCAGAGCAGAGAAGGAACAAAACAGAAATGAGTCTCTTGACCACTCTGTTTCCCTGGAGTTCTGCACATCTGTCTATCTGCTGTCTGTCTGTCTGCCTGTCTGTCTGAGGTGAGGCAGGAAAGTGGCCCATTTGCACAGCAAACTTTATCAGAAACATACCTATTTGGTTAGGCAACATGGCAAACACAATTTAAAACACACGGGCACCCGTACTGTGGATGTTGCTGACTTCAGAAAAGAATTCCAAAGACATCTGAAGTTAAACCAGTCAAAGCACATGTCTGCGAATTCTCCTCTGGACAGAAAGCAGACTCTCCAGTCCTGTTATATTTAGCTGTGGAGTCACTGTGAGTCCTATGTATCAACCACCTTGTGTATTAAATAAACACCCTACACTGATATAATTTCTTACAGCGTATGAAGATATATTACAAACATCATTTTGTAGGATACATCTATGCTCAGAAGATCAAGTGTTCTCTTGACTGAGGAGGGAATAGAAGTGTGACATCATCAAGTTCATACAGATATTATGTAAAAAAGCAAGAATGGGAACATAGGCTTTTGAGCTTTGAAATCATAATCTAGAGTCAAATTTTTATATTGAATATGATTTTATTTTTCTTATATGCCAAGATGCCCAGAGCATTAGCTCAGAGTTGCTAAGTGCTACTGACACTGGGAAGAACTGGAGTTCTTTCTGTTTGTCTGATTCCTGTGTCTCACCTCCCAGGCCTTTGTCTCCATGAGTGTCCCTTTTTCCTGAGATTTCAGACTTGGAGCTTGTTCTCTGTGAAGGAAATGGGTGAAAGGGTACAGGAACAAGAGAGGAAAGTGCTGAACCTGGACTCTTTTAACAGATCAATAAAAGCTTTCCCAAAGCCCCACTCAGAGGACTTGCACTGACATCTGCTTGGCCAGAACTTCCTCACCATTCCTAGCTGGAAGGCACAATAGAATAGAAGGGTTTTACTTTTGGGTTTAAACAGTGGGAAAAGGAAAAAGAAGGGAGAATCTTGAATGGCTCCCAGGTCAGGTAAATACTGACCATGACTAGCAGTGAACTATAGTAGATTGACTTTTGGAATAACATATCTTAATTTTACTAGATATGAATTATTGTATAAAAGCTCTCTGATTGGAAGTAGGAAGGAAAAAGTCATAATATGAGAATATTCTGAATAAAAACAATTTCACTGTCTCATTCCAACTTTGATGCTTTTTCAACAGAGATTACTCAATTTTGATTCTTCCAATTTCACACTAATACATCTGTTTTATATTTATTTTCATTTAATGTATGTTTTAGTACTGTTTAGTCTTTCTCCTTTCATATTTGTAATAGCAATTTTTAAATAAACACAAAAGAATGACATAATGAACCCCTCATACCCTATCTCCTACAATAATGATCAATTTGACTAATCTTGTGGTCCCTATTCTCTCCCCCTTTCCACTAGAATATTTGAAGCCAACTCATTTCTTTTCAATACTCTAGAGCAAATTTTGCCTTGAATTCCTAATTTTGTTTTTTTTACTTTTTCATACAAGAGAGCCTAAAAGAATTTTGACAAAACTTTTTAAAAGAATTAAAAAAAATCATTGGAAAATTGTATTTCTCTCTAGATATTTTGACCTCTTACTATAGAACAGTAACAACAAATTGAAAAGCAGAGATATAAATTTTAAAATTGAAAAGCTAAGTTTCAAAAGTAAAATGCTATTTCCCTCCCTAAGGGATTACCTCCTTACTGTGCAGAGTAGAGTTTATTCCCTCTTTCAGAATTAGGTCACAGTTATGTGTCATGTCAACTATGTCTGACAATTACCACATGCAACAATTAATATCCTATCATTTCTGATTTGCATTCTTTAACGTTAAAAAAGATTTTCTAAATCTCAAACGGTGTGCTAAGTAGCAGTTTAATAGGATTGGCACAGGATCAGAGAAGCTGTTTAAATAAGGATCCGCCTCTCTCTTCTGAGATTTGAGTACTTCAACATTTTGCTTCATTTTCCTATAAGACAAATAATCCAGAGTGTCAACAACTATTCTTTATGTATTAAGGATATAGTTATTTATTCACATACAGTATTATGTTTATTTGGCTACACATTTAGATATTCATTCATTCACCAAATATTTTTTCAGGTCCATGAACATTTTATTACTAAAAGTTTTAAGGGTAAGGGCACTGGAAAAAAAAAACAAAAAACCATAATGAGTCTCTGTTTGTATAAAGCTAAACAAACCCACAGCCTAAAAGCTTTATGTGGGAATCAGGTAGAAATCAGTTGTGCTGCAAAATCTGCAGAGTAGAAACGCCAATCTCAAGGTACATTTTTAAAAAAAATGCATAGTGGCAGGATCACGGGGTGGGAAATGGGCCTGGCTGGAAGGATCGCTATATGTGTATTTTTATCATCCATGTGTTGGATGAAGCGGAGAGCTGCCAGATAGCTTCTTTTCGACAGCTTGGAGTTACTGCTGGGAACAGATCCATGTATGGAAGTGAAAGCCGAAAGGCACAGATAAGCCGAGATCCAGCTATGCAAACCATGTTTAGAGACACTTAAAGGACAAGCATCTCAGGTCCTTTCTTTCTGGTAAATTTGGAGAAGCCATCACACTGGATCATTTTTCACATCCAGCCCAGGCAGACTGAGCAGCTAAGGCTTGACAGAGGTAGGTGCAGGGCTTCTGTGAGGAAGCTTATCTAAAGGATCATTTGTGAGCACTCCCACGAGAGCCCTTGGTGTCCTTTATGGGAAGGCGGGAGATACTGGTGATGATGATGAGAGAGGGAGAGAGAGACAGAGAGACAGAGAGAGAGAGGGATGCAGGAAGGAAGGGAGAGTTGGAGCTAGTGACTAACAGGCATTTAAAAGCTTTTCCTTCACAAGGCGAGCTTGCTTGGCTACGAAGGAAAAGTGACAGCACAGATTTGCTGCCAAATAAAATCCCTTTCTTCTGGGTCACTTACCGTTCTGAATATTTGTGGATGTAGGTCTTCTTCAGCACTGCCAGCACCTTTTGGAATGGTTCACAGCTTCCGGCAGGATTCTGGTACTTACTATGTATTTTATAGGGTGGGGTAGGTAGAATTTGTCATTTTCTTTGCTTGTCCCCAGGAACCAGCAAAAGCTCACATGTGTGGATAGCTCTTCCTAAGATATAGGAAAAGTTGCTTGTAAATGACATTATTTTTTTTGGCAGCTGAAGTCATTTTTGCAATGTTTCTCAGAAGCTCAGAGGTTGATTACATCCTGCTCAAATATTCTTGGGTTGTTTTCACAAACATGGGGTCTTGCGTAAGTGAAAGTTGCTGAAACCAGCTGTAAGCCCTGAATGTCCTTGGTACCTTTTCCTTTTTCTTTCTTTCTTTCTTTCTTTCTTTCTTTCTTTCTTTCTTTCTTTCTTTCTTTCTTTCTTTCTTTCTTTCTTTCTCTTTCTTTCTTTCTTTCTTTCTTTCTTTCTTTCTTTCTTTCTTTTCTCTTTCTTTCTTTTTCTTTCCTTCTTCCTCTCTTTCATTCTTTCTTTCTTTCCTTGTTTCCCTCTTTTACTTTTTTCTGTCTCTTTCTGTCTCTTTCTTTTTTCTTAATGACTAAAAACTTAGGAACTTGAAGAGAAATATTTGCAAAATATTATTTTCATTATCATTTTTTCATGAGTGATGTTTTAGGAATAGTAAATGGTGCAAAATAGCAAGTCATATCTGTCATGAGTGCAAAGTAAAAGTACAGATATGAAGGCAGTAGCAGCAATATCTATTTCTGTATAACTGTATGATATTTTCGAGAAGAGAAAATTGTGCTTAAACCAGGCAAGTCATATCAGTTTTGCTTTAGAATTATAGTCCAGATAGTTACCAAATTGTTGTTATTAAATAATTAAAGCTGTTATTAAACTCCTCCCAAACATTTACAAAAGTTCAGGAGGAAAATGACAGGTCATATCTGTAAGATACATGCATTTTTCCAATATCTAATTAAAATCCTTATACAAGATAAATAGAATTTAAACTTCAAGATTTATCCTGTAATGATTCAAGGAAGTTTTGAGCCAATTCTTCATTTAGTTTAGTGTTCAACTTTCTAATTGAGCAAAAGGGGAGGAAAGAAGAAAAAGACAAGTAAGATTGTCCTTCCTTGATGAGAAACAGGAGATGAGAGATGATTAATAAACAAGTGTAAGGAAACACTAAGAATAGTTTGTTATACTAACCAAGGAGATGCTCTTGGGATGAATTAGTTATCTGGGAAAGGCTTAACAGATATAGAGGAAACGACTACTTATGTGGTAGCTTCCTCCAAACTCTGCATGTTTCATGCCACTGAAAAGTGAGAGGAAGAGAAAGTGTGTTTCTGTTTCAATAATCCAGTAGCTCTACTAAGGTAGTTATACTAAAATATGTATTTTTCATCAAGTTATTGTTTTACATGTCTGTTACCTTACCAGTGCATTAGGTTTACAATACATTATCTTTTCTGTATTTCTTCAAGAGGCTATTTTACATCCCTGAACAATACTGATATCCTGTATCTGAGAAAAAGGGAATGAGAGAGAAATAAACTATGCTTTCTTTTTTTAAACTAACAGAGACAAGCTGTTGTAACTTTAGCTAAAGTGGGACAGGCCTACGAAAGGATGGTTTTAAAATACTTAGTGAAACGCTGTATACCAGCCGGCTTCCCAAAAGGAACAGCACAGCAGGCGTCTTTGTAATTTTCAATACGTAAAAATTTCATATAAACGATGACAGTAGCATTTGTGAACAGATGCGATGCCTACATGTCACCATCTACTGTCTCTCATTTGCTTAGTGCCAAGTGTATTTCAACTACACACTCAGGATGAGAAATGAGTGTTCCTGTTTCTCCTTTAGCAAACAAATTCCAGGAGCAGAACATAGGTAATAGAAAATGGGTCGCTGCTACTGTATGTGCAGTATGTTAACATTCATGGAAGAAAATAATAGTCAAACTACTTGTTCTTTGGACTGGTGACCTCTTAGGCATTAGAAGTTGACTATACATGTAGAAAATATTGAGACTGTGTTTTGAGAAGGAAATTGAAAGTGTTGGCAGATTCAGCTGGGAACAAAATGGCTGTGGTGTGCTGTTACACTTAATGGAAGCATGAAGCAAATTCATGGTGGCTAAGGATAATAGACACATTGCAATTTGTCTGCACAGCAGAGAGCTCAGCTTTGAAGTTTCTGTCCCCTAATGGGATCAGACTGGACGGGCTGTGGGCCTGGTCTTTTGTGCTACAATGATGAGGAGAAAGTGGTTTGAAGGGGCTTTAATGGGAAACAATATTCCTATATTTGGGAGAGTTCATATAGAATGAAAGTAGGGATTTACTTTTCCAGAAGCATGAAAACTTTGTTCCACAGGAAAGGTCATTAAGTTGAGAGGAATAGATACCATTGTTTTTTTTTTTTAAAAAAAAAGAGACAAAAACAAAATCTTGCTCAAATGAAAACTATGAGACATTGAAGGGTCCCAGACAGAACAACAAAGAGTTCAAGAACTTTAAAAAGTATGTTAAAGGCATAAGGGTAGGGGAAGAGAGTGGAGAGAAATTTGAAGACCGGAGAGACTGTAAGTTTCTCAAGGTCAAAAAATGGAAGATAAGATTCTCCAAAATTCCACAATCCTACATTTCTGATCAGAAGTGATCTGCCCAAGCAGCTCTTTCCATTGAATTTTTAAATTGCATATTTTCAAGCCTCATGACAAGGCATTAGAGTCAAATGACATACCAGAGACTTGTAGAAGGTATTTTTAAGGTATGTAAAGTAACAAAAGGGAAACAGGTTCACATGACTCTTAATCTTGCTGAGTGGAAAAGTTCTTCCAAATCCCGCTGACTTCTTCTGAAATGAGCCACTCTGTCTACACGTAAGAACCACTTGGGGTAAGTGATGGCCAGCGGTACCCCTGAGGAATTAGTATACTTATGGGCTTCAGACAAAATCTTATTTTTTTTAAATCAAATCTATGGAATTCTAATGTGCAGCCAAGAACAAGTTATTTTTCAATAAAAAAATGTAGCAACCAGTTTAATATTCTTCAATGGGGTGAATTAAAAGACCCTGGGTAGAATATTTTTGAAACATGGTACTTTGTCCCAGGAAGATGATTTTTTGATTACTAATGTAAATTTTGCTTAGAAATCTTATTTAACAGTTTAAGTATATTTATAAAGAGATTTTCTCTATAGAAAAGATTTGTATGGATATTTGCTCTCTCTCATTAGGTGAATCTATGTGAGTGTAGCCACAGTCATTAAAAAGGTATAAAATACATGTAGGCAAAATCGTGAATTTTAACCACAGTTCGTAAATGAAACTTTATATTATTTTAGCAAATCATCAAGCAATATCTTGAAAGGGTTTATTAATTTTGGATAACAATTAAGGTTTTTTTCATTGTAGTGGTGTATTGTGCATGTGTATGTATGTGTGTGTGCATGTGTGTGTGTGTTTATGTGTACCTTTTATCTTTCCAGCAAGTACCAAGAACTCTGAAGAGATAGTGCTTGACTTTATGTAGAAAACATTTTAATTCATCACATATCAATATGTTTGAGTAAAAACCTAACACTAGCCAAAAACTAAGAGGATATATATGGCCCATGGTGGATCCTTTTCATTTGTGTAGAAATTGTAGACCGAATTCAGAGTCCTGCAAAGAAGGTTCTGAGAAAAGTGCTGGTAGAGATAAAATAAACATCTCCTTTAGGTTTCAGGTCTGCGCAAGGAATACTATTCAAGTCCCGGTTAGATGCACGATCAGGGTGCTGAGCTAGAAAGGTCATTGGAGTTAAAGAACTTGTGGTTCATTCTGACTCCTCAAGGTGTTGTTCTTCACTGGGAAACTGTATAGTTAATCTAACTTTTGTAATTCTTTATTTTCTTTTCTGTAAACTAAGTAGTTACCATGTTGAAGACATTAAGTCCTTCATTGTAATAAGTAATGGGTAATATCGTCCTTATAAGCAATATTACATCAAATGAGTTACTCCCAAAAGACTCATTCATTCTCTTATCGTTATATATGCTGTTTCTAAAAATAACCTGGTACTAATGCTGAACATCTGGAACATACTTATTTCACAGTCTGTGATTGATGATGAACACTGAATTTTCCTCCTTCACCAAACTCTTAACAGGAAGATGAGCCAAATAACTATCATCATGTCAGATATATAACATAAATAAACCCTAGCATACATTCAATCATGAATATTAGGAGGCCTAAAAAAGACTTTCAAAAACAAAGCTATACCATCATAGAAGAGAAAGGAATTCACTAAAAAGAAGCATCAAATTATTTTCTGAATAAAATGTTTCCAAGGTAAATGAGATAGAAGAATGCACTGACTATTCGGAGTAATATATTAGACTCCAGTGAATAACGATGCTATACAAGAATAGATATAATTTTAGTCCCTTATCTGGTCTCACAGCTCGCCTTGTGAGAGAAAAGTGCAGTCACATAAGAAAAGACCTCATGAGCCATTATCAATTGCAAGCTACTGTTGAATTTAATACAAAAAACCAAAATTTTAATGAGCTATTTCTAAACATTAGCTAATTTTACCACTGATCTACCCATATGTATAAAATATTAAAGTACATTCTATGAAACAATAAGTATGCTGATTTTTAGCTTAAAAAATCTCAGTTCGTGAATTTAGACAAATTCTTGTTCAAATCTCATGATGGATAAGTTGCTAAAACATTACCCTGATATGTGTTTGGCTCTTACTGTTTTCGAAAAAAATCGCTAAGCAAGTAAGTAGTATCTGTTCATTTATTAATCCTGGAAATTGCTGTATGAGATAAATGCCCATTTTAAAGATGGAGACTAATGCACAGAAAGATTAAATAATCTACTCAAGGTCACACAGTACACAGAGAAGGAAAATCTGAGGTCTTAGCTTAGCTCCATGTTACACTATCCAAGAACTGTTTCCTAGTCACTCAAGAATGAGAACACATAATAAAATTAATATGTGCAAAGTATTTATTGTAGTCTTGGCAAAAAGGAGGAGCAAAATTATGTTATTTTTTCAAATTAATGTTTGTTTAAATTTATGTTGAATGAATAATCATTTGAAGCAGTATTTCCAAGTGCCAACTAAATCAGAAATAACATTAACTGTTCTTTATATATTAATGTTCCCAA